GATTTACAGAAGATCATTGTGAGATTATTGCATATTTGAAACACAGACATAATTAGTCGATATTAGTGATTCATTTGTCAACTAAAAAGTGTAATTAAAACTTATGAAAAATATATTTCTTAAATATGAGATATGTTTTTCCCCCCCACCCTCAAATGTACAAATGGTGATCTTTAGAAGAGGTATATCTTAGGTAATCAAGCAGTGGTTGATAAAAGGTAAGACAGTAGCACTATCATGGTGTATTAATGAGTCTGTTGATTAATTGATCAGCAAATACCATTAATTACCCAGCTGTAGTCAGTAATGTTTGATAAAGACCACAACTGCAAGCATGTCTTTCTTCATCGTGCAATATTGGTGTTCAGGAGCTGTGAGCATGTGACTAGTGGATGCTATGACACTTTCTATTCTATCATGCAACTTTGATAACCTTCCTCCTATTCCATTATTTCTGGCATCACTGTCCATCAAAAAACTTGCAGTCCTGTTGTGTATATTCCAGTTCTGGAGCTTTCACTAAAGCATGCTTTAGGGACAGAATTGCTTGGTCCCACTGCTTTTTTTTATCTAAAATGTGTATTGGCCTCAATGAAAGCAGTAATAGTGCTGCAATCTTGGAAAAGTTAGTCACAAAATGTAAGAACTATGACACAAGACCAAGGCAACTTTGGGTTTCTTGTTTGGTCACAGGTTGAAGACAGTCCTGTACAACTGTGATCTTCACAGGGTTGGTAGAGATTTCATCTCTTCTCATACCATAAAGAAGTTCCACCAGTCGGTGCATGAGCACACACTTTCCTGGTTTCAATTTTAAACTCACTCTCCTTAACTTTTGAAGTACTATTCTCAGAATTTCAGAAGCAGTCTGAAATATTTGGCCAAACATCGGTACATTGTTATCATAGACCAGGCACTATTTCTATTGCAGACTCTTTTGGATAATCTCCATCATCATCTCAAAAGTGACTGGAGCATTACATAAGTTTAACGCCATAATGCAAAACTTGTACAAACTACCTCAAGTGTTGAAAGCAGTTGTGGACTTGCTCTTTTGATTCAGCTTGACTTGTCAGTATCCAGATGACAAGTCTAAAGTGTTGAACCAATGAATGCTTTCTAATGTACCCATACATTTGTCTGAATGTAAGAGTAGAAAGGCATCAAACTGTTCACAATTTTCACCTGTCCGAAATCAACACATAATGTTGGCATACCCTCTTTCTTCTTGACAGTCACTGCTAGAGATGACATGCACTCTGAATCTTCTTTGATTCTGTCCTTATCTGCTTTATTTTGGCATTACCTGCAATGTCTGGTGTTTTAGGGGAGTTTAAATGACAATTGTTTAAAATCAACATGTGTCACCTGTGTCTGTGTGCTGGTGAGTTATTTCTGTTGAACCCAGTCAGCCATATGATCCCACAAATACATAGTTATAATCAACAAACAGGTCATTGAGCTTCTGTCATTGTATTGAATCAATATTGCTTCACCTCTGCTGTATTGTGAACTAAAATACTTGTTTCTGGAGGTGGTATGATGGTGGTAATGCTAGTGATATCACTTGCTTTGGTTACCTCCACTTTACTTGCTGTTTCAATGACTATTCCAGTGTAAAGCTGGATATTTGACGACAGGACAGCACTGAGACTTCATCCCCATTCAGGCAGATCATTGTCCAAGCTAATACTGTGTGCTTTCTGGACAGGAAAATGTGTTTTTCATGCATTGGGTCTGTAACCACATCACTCGGCACAACACACTAGACCTCCTCTGTAGTAAACCATAAAAGATCACTTTTGCAGTTCAAAGTTCCTATGTCTGGTCTTCCCGCAAAATGCAGTATACCTCTTACACAGTCAAAACTGATGGATGATTTCTGCAGTATGTTCATCTCTAGGATACCAATGCCATACCGTACGTCGGAAATCATTATCTTTGTTCTGTAGCTGACTTTACATAAATGTAGTCTGAAAGTTTGTCCTTCAGTTACACCTAGTCTATCACCATTTGCCAGGATGAAGTAAATGTAAACTGCTCAGTGTGTTGGCTTGGAGTATCCTTTATACAGCAGTATCAACCAATGTTCCGACAGCTCCTGTATCAAGTAGGAACTTCTTTTCTCACTCTTGTATCTTCACAAGCACATATCAAGCCTCATCCAGCTCTTATAGAGCTGGGTTGATGACTGAACTTTATGGTGTAGCTAACTGCTGCATCCACCCCAAAGTCCTTGGCTGGAATCAACTTAAGTTTCATTAGTTTCCTAAAGTGGAAGTAGCAGGAGCTACAGCTCAGTATCAACCCTACTGCATCTGCTGTAGGAATTGGTAATACTTACTGATGTTGTTATCCACATTCAAAAGAAACAATTTGGTCATCCCTTCTGAAATTATGTCAGGGCAGAGGTACAATTGGAAACAGTTGCAGCATAAATATGGAAAGACTAGGGAAGCCCTGCCCATTGACGAGGAACTAATATGGTTGTGTTGCAGAACTGGGATATGTTGGCTGCTGGTTTGTCTTTAGCAAAGACCAAGCTTAGTGTGAGGCACACACTTGAGTAGAGAGGTCTGTCCAAGACATAACCACAACAGTTGCTACTATAGATGTTTTTCTCTTTTGCTACCCATTCAAAGTCACAACTCTGAACCTGAACTGCCTCTATTAGGGTGAGAAGATTTCTTACACCTGAGGTATGCCTTGTCATCCCTGGAGAGTCCCTTTATAGACTTATTGTTGAAGATATCCTTTCAATGTGCAGGTGCCATTGAAGAATGTGCTTTCACATGCAGTCATTGTAGAACATGTGAGTAAGCACCCAAGTTTTCTGGGGTTTCATGTCTTGAATTTAGCCTAATGGGTAGTTTGGTTCTCTATCAGGTTGAAACAACAGCACAACTTGGCAATGATTGTATCCAAGTCTTTGATTTGTGTGCTTCACTCAAGTGCTTGATAGCATTGAATGCTGGATCACTGACGTTAAGGGTCAAGCATTGCATCACCTTTTCCTGAGTACAACTAATTCATGCATTGAACTACCTGAAATGCTTCATGAAGTGGTCAAGAACCTCTTTTGCCACTCCCTTAAATTTCAGGGATGATGTTTGTTTTACTCTGTCACAGCTACCTGTGGCTTGGTGTAAACCTTATACCCACAGACTCTTAGCCCACATCAGGCTGGGATGTGCTAAACATCGGAACTGTGGTGGAGTGAGTTTTTACATGGAACCTAACATACTCAGATGAGTGTTAGATCCATCTCTTTGTATCATAGAATAGTGAACTCATCCATCAATTCTGTGTGACCCATGGCTGCACTGGCAGTATACCTCTTAGCACATATAAACTCAACACTGTCTCATGGATCACTAACTTCACCAGTCTGTGCCCATTGTCTCAACTGCTGATGGATTCTGATCTCATTTGATTGGTCATGGGTGGTATTGATTCTGTAAGTCTTCCTTTATGGGTCTGTGGCCACAGCGAGAAGATTTCATGAATCTTTATAGCATTGGAAAAAGTCTATGTCCAGGAGTAGACTTCTTCTAAACCTGAAAGCTATTGCTTATCAACATTTAATTCTTTCTTCTGGTAACAAGCCCTTCAATTATTTAATGAAAAATACCATTTTTTTTATTTGAAGCTTAAAAGCAATAAATGCAAGAGATAAGACGTATACACTTGATGGGAGAAAAAACAGACATACCAAAATAATAAATCTTATTGTCACAACACCACATTTTCTCCCTATCACCTATTTTGTGGTATTTTCAGATTCAGTGATTTTTCAGTAGAAACTGCAGAATAATAACAAGGGGTTTTCAACAGAAAATGTTATAAATAGCATAATCTGAATTCTTTGACCTAGGCTGAGTTTGAAGCAATGAAAGAGACAGAATACAAGCTAAACACAATGAAATAATTTGTATTGCCAACAAACAACAATTAAGATTTAAACAAGCGTGCCTTTTTCTGGAGAGTTAGCAAATCAATCTCTATGTTAAAGCTTAATCAAGTTAATCATATATTTTTAATCTAATCTTATTCCAAACTGAAATAACATGGCATTATATAAGAAAAACAACAATGTAGGTGTGGGTGGTATATGAATATACAATGTGTTTTTATCTTCTTGTAATATTATAATATTTACTCTGAATTCATTCTTTGTTCTGAATATGTGCAGGTTTCATAAAACATAATCCAAAAAACTGTTGAGTTGATTTTGTTTCAAGTTACCTTATTCCTTTGTTACTTTCCATGGAGAGTATGCCTGATGTGACCTTATGTAAGGATGTTGACAGCATTGTCCTTCAATAGTTGTACAGGTGATATTTAGAGCACATGGCCCCAGCTATGTGTAACAAGAATGACCAATCACATGAGTAGTGCGTCATGCTGAGTAACTGCAAGGTTTCTTGAAAACTGAAAAAACCTTGGTTTGGCAGTTTGGTGTAAAACATCATTGAGTATAGTCTGGTAGATGATCTTAATCTGAGAACATCAAATAGAAGTGGCAGTCCAATGTAAGTAAATTGTAAACAGACAAATTGTGTTTTACACTTGTTTACAGTCACTATTATTATTATTCTATTTAACATTTCTCCAGTTAAATAAGAGTTTTAGTAATACTCTGCAGTCAATATCCTGGTTCAACTTCCAGTTTAGTGGACCTATCTGATGTAGCTCTACAGTTAATTCATTTCACCTGAATATACCAAGGAGTGGATAGGTAGAGGAAAAAATTTGGTTCAATGACAGAGGTGTTGCTAGGTGCTGGCATGTGGGGCCTGTGCTCCAATTCTACTTGACAGTGCCCTGAGTCCCTAGTTATGTCTTGAAAAATCAGAATAGAAAACCATAATTGATATCATACTGAAACACTGAAAATTCCTGTGCCTATGGGCCCAAGCTGCAAATCTTTTAAACACCTAGTGATGGCTCTGTTCAATGGTGCAGGATATCAGTATTTCAAGGGTGCAACAAAAGAAGATCTGTACTATCTTCTGAGGCATTTCAGGTAAGCAGCTGCTTAGAATGGCTGCTCTCCAGAACAGGCTGCACAGTTCTTGAATTTGAGTCTGGATGGTCCAAACTTTTTCCCATTAAGCACTTAAGCAAAGTGCAACTATGGGATTAGGAAACAGTCATTACCAACTTGTGCCAAAGGTTTGACCTGGTGGAAAATCAAACAATCCATTGGGCTGAGTTCAAAGCTTGGAAGAAGGGTGCCAGTTAGAGTTTGCCTGCTTATGATGCAGTGTGTATCACAACACGGTATGAATTGGTTACTTTGAAATAGTCATAGGAGAAGGTAAAGCCTAGTGTGGCAATATGTGAGGCAGACTGTTCTTTCCAGGCTTCTCTGTCATGCAGAAATCAAACACTGCATTGCAACCACACTGTTACCCAGTGAATAGGTGGGGCCAGACCTCGTGTGGTTCTCATGCATGATACAGCCTATGTTTATGATACCCCCACCCAGATGTCATTCTAGGAGAGAGGGACAAAACGTTTGCTTTGCCTGTTAAGCATTGGGTCACATTCAGTTGAAGTGCCCATAGGAGTGTGATTATCCCATATTAGTTCTTATAACCATAACTATGAATTGCCTTTTTTTTCTTTTTTTCAAGGTATAAAATCTTCACTAGTTGTTGGTGTTTTCACTTAGTGTGTGTTTTTATTATATACTCCAGTATCAGTTTTTTTTTTATGATTGATGGCTCCTTTATGAAAATGAGATAGTACAAGGTTTACAGATAGCATAAACTCCTATAAAAATGTTTTGTTTAGTGTAAAAACTAACCCTAGTTGCTTCAAGTTCTTAAGGTTTACTGAGCTGTTATGTAACACATACTGAATGACAACAATTAGTTTAAATTATATTTACATTTACTTCCCCATATGAGTAGAAACATAAGAGTATATGAATACAGATTTATCATAATAAGAATTACCAAGAGATGCTGATTTGAGGTATAGCTAATGCCATAAGATGTGATTCAAATTATAATCAATACAATTTTGAAATTTCTATACAAAAACAGAAATTTAGTGAAAAAGAACAGGTTAAATATTTTAACCATGTTAAGCGTATTTAACTTTCTGCCATAGTAACAACAATCGAGAGAAGAGCATCAACAATAATATTTTTTTATTTTGGTTTTAAAATTATTTTTGTTACACAACTCAATAAATATTGAAATGATTCAACTAACAACATTTTTTGACGCAATATTTAATAAAATAAGCTTTTTCTTTAAGCTATGCTAGACATTTTTAATTTTCTTTTTCAAGTTCTGGGAAGTTATTTCAGATGAGCATGGGATTGATCCAACAGGTACATACCATGGTGATTCAGACTTGCAGCTAGAAAGAATTAATGTATATTATAATGAAGCTACAGGTAAGTTATTGATTTTTTTTTTTTTTTAGATTTCATCATCAAAGTAACCAAAAATAAAATTACAAGATACATAATTAATTTGGAGCTTTTAGCTTTTACATTCTATGTACAGTTGTAAGCCTAATCCCAAATTCAAATATGGAAAACAAATTAGTAGAGTTCCCCAATATCTCTCAGCTGATACATAATTGTGAAATTATCAGTGACCCCAGAAGGGCTTAAAAAACGAAAACAAACCCAAAATTTTTCATGTAGTTTCTTAAAGTAAATGGAATTACTAAATTTAAATTGTATCTCTTCTTGCTAGACTAATTTTTTGTTATTTCTTCATAACAGTTGAGTGTAACTAAGTTTTGGCAATCTTGTGGTGAAACCTTTAAAACCATGATTTTTTTAAGACATTTTGTAATGACCAACAAAATTGCTTATACAGCTATATAGGGACAAAATTGCATTCCAAATGTATCCTTTGATTTTCATGGTTCTGTCTTCAATAGTACAGATAGCCCATTGTGTAGCTTTGTGTTTAATCACCAACAAGTCTATATTTCATGTAAAATTAGGACATATATTGTAACTTAATAAATATTTTACATATGAGATCCATTTCTCTTAAATGTGCAGGGGGAAAGTATGTTCCTCGTGCAGTGCTTGTTGATCTGGAACCAGGGACCATGGATTCTGTAAGATCAGGACCATTTGGACAACTCTTTCGGCCTGACAGTTTTGTCTTTGGTAGGTCATTTAATACTTGGTAAGATAGTTATGTAGGTGAGCTGTGACATAAGTGTGTGTGTGTGTGTGCAAGATTAGAAGACTTGTACATATTGATGCAGTGTTACATTTTCTTGCAGTGCCAGCTTAAAGCATAAATATAAAAAGGACTTCTTGTCCCTTGTTAATGCCAGCAATGTTCTTGTAGCTCATTCATACTAAAGTTATCAATAATGTTAATAACAGTGTAGTTAAACTGTTATTTTATATTCATTTTTTAAATTATGAAAAAATAAGTTCAGATAACAAAAAATACTGTTACTGGTATTGGACTGAGATTTTTTATTTTTCAGAAAATTTCTATATGTAAACAATACAGTTAACTAGGATATGAAATGTTCAGATCTGTTCTGCATCCATTTGTAAAGACATGTTTATATATGTTATCAAGAATTAAATTTTCTCTTGCAAAAATAGTGAATTTATTATGAAAGGAGTGTGCACCATGTGGTTGCCCTTGGCCATGGGACTCGGAGACTGTTGGTTGTCTGACTGGCTTAAAATGGGAATGACAAAAAGGAATTCCCTGTTAGTATGGCTCATTGGTGGTGATTGATAAAAAAGTTGAGCCATTGATCCAATTTTAACATAATTTTGTTGTATTTTCAGTGTATGTTCCTTGAAAACCATATTTTTCAGGAAATAGCAAGTCAAGAAACAATATTCCAAGTATGTTAGGTTACAGGAAACACAGTTATATGTATATACTCATACACACACACACACACACTATGCACCATCGTATATATGTTATGAATTATTGTTATTCATGATTTGACAGACATCAGTTAGAGAAATGTGTTCAGCCATCATTCTTATTTGTGCAAAAAACTGTGGTTTGATTTGGTATTAGTAAAGTTTTTGTTTCATACAGATTCCGTTAAGTATATGTTTTTTTAATTTTATGAAATATCAAATAGCATGTTATATGCTAATCTTCGGAAAAGGTCATCCATGCTGAGTTTTATTAGTTTGTTTATTGTACTTTTAATTTAAATTATCTACTTTGCTTATAGCAAAAATTGTTGTTATTATTATTCTGTTCAGCTCTTGGATTTTTTCAACTCACATTATGTGATTTAGCAGGAATTTTAGAAGTGTGTTTATTTATTAGTCTTTTTTCCAAAATCAAATAGCATTTGTAATTTTGTTACAAACTTAAATAATGATTATGGATTATGAGACTTATGACACCATACACACAGAAATTGTGGTTATTATGACATTATAATCATCAGATTTTTTTTATTAAGTATTCTTACTGCAAAGTAAAAGAATGTGTTCTTGATGGTTTTAGGGCAAAGTGGTGCAGGAAACAATTGGGCAAAAGGCCATTATACAGAAGGTGCAGAACTGGTAGACTCTGTGTTGGATGTGTGCAGGAAAGAGGCTGAGAGCTGTGATTGTCTCCAAGGCTTCCAAATGACCCATTCATTAGGAGGAGGAACTGGGTCAGGCATGGGTACACTCTTGATATCCAAGATTCGGGAGGAGTACCCTGACAGAATCATGAACACTTTTAGTGTTGTACCATCTCCAAAGGTATTAAATTATTCTTTAACTGTCAGATTATCATTAGAATATCATATCAGTTTCAAACATAATTTTTGTGTGTCTTTATAGGAGATGTTTCATTCTAGCCATGATATATGTCATGATGAGGCATCTTTTGAGTACTGATATACACATTAATTAATTTTTTTTAATATAAACTTAATAAAATATGTAATAATAAAATAAAATACAGAAAAGAATGTATCAGGATTTAGGATATTCAAGAGGAAAAGGCCTTTAAAAAACATTTTACATTAATAGTGGCATGGCTACCTATAATTTCTTTTTGTATGTCACGTGTCTCAGTTGGACTGTGTTTATTTGCATGATTTCTTATTTCACTACTTAAAAGCTCAGAACATAGTTTTTGAGTATTTCCTTTTATTTATCAGACAACTACATTTGTACATCCAAAAATTTATGTATTTCATTATATTTTGTCTACTTTTTTTCAGGAAAGTTTTTAAAGAAATACTTACCTTATTGGATGTGCTTATTGTGTTTCATTTGATAAAAGAGCAAATATTTCTCAAACATTCTCTTACAATATTAATGCCTTGTAGCACTGTGGATAGGTGTAAACCTACACACACTAATTTTGGTGTTGGTAATATATCCAAAATTTACACATGTAAAGCAAAATTGAAATTTTATGGTTTCAGCAAATGCATTTAAATATTTGTTAGAGGTATATAAAACCAGTTTCTCGTAATTGATTTTTTAAGCATTTTATTGAAATTTATATGACCTTATTTAAGTCCCAAATATTTGACTGATCTGAAATGTTACATTATTTAGTAATTCGTTACTTCAGTAACACAAATAAAACCTGTATATATACATCAAAGTTTAACTGATATACATGAGTGTATATATGTATATATTATGATCATAAAATAGATTAACAAAAATCTGTACAGTATTGGGTAAGCTCCATAAAAAAATCAAAGACTGAGAAAGTCTTTTGCTCCATTAACGGAAGAGCAATTTTCATACAAATGAATGGTTAATAATAACTGCAGAATACTGAAGAATGTGTATTTTGTTTTAACTATCCATATCATTTTGACCAACCTTGTAACCACCATATGATCCTGCAACTGCACATACTATAACTTTTAATCTAATAAGTGTATCTTCATGAAAGTTGGAAAGCTTTTAGTAAACATTACAAGGCTGTTGTGCAAAAAATATCAGATTTTGTAATTAGGTATTTTTAAGAAAAATTTGTATGTTAATTTACATAGCCTTTACTGAGTCAGACTGAATGCAAAGTGATTTTTGTGTTAAGAATAAAAATCCTTTTTTTTTTTTCATCTTCCAGTTTTAAGATATCATTTGTATAACCTATAGAACTTCCTCAATAAATATCAGATTTTTTTCAGTACCTTTTTTCTATACCTTAACACTAACTGTATCAATATCGGTAAATTTAACAGACCTTGTAACCACCACATAACAAAAAAAATGAACACATCTCAATTACCCTTTTTTTTTCTGTAATGACTGAATATTGAAATTGTTTTTGCAGCCAGTGCTAATAGATTTTTCATTTAGTATTATTTCATTATAGTTGCACTTAGATCTTCTCGGAGTATGAGATAACTATTTATTATGCATAAAAGCTTTGTGTAAACAAATGATGAAGTTAGCAGCACATGCTTGTGAAATTACACAACTACACTTCTGCTGATCATGTGCTACACAAGTATTTGGTTTATTTAAGTTTTCTTACCTAACCTAATAAGTTTCTAATTTTAAAATTTAGGTTACATTTATAACAATTAATAAAAAATATGCAAAGAAAACACAAGACATGTAATACTTATACCTGAAATCTTATCTTTCTCAAGCTTTTGTACATGTACAATAGAAGTCCATGTCCGACACTAACTTGATTTTTTGTAATAACAACATGGTTTCAAAAATTATTTTTTATAATTCAAATATGTAACTTAGAATACAAAATATTGCACTAATATGAAGTATAAGCTAATTATTTATCTGGCTTTTTACCTAAGCTAGAAATTGGTTAAGTGATTCACATACTTGGTCAGGCAGAGTTCCAACACTGACAGACAAAGAAAAGTATGTCAAAATCTTCAAAACTGGCTATCTCAATGGCTACTAGTCTAATCCAGTTGAGTAAACTGGAAACTTCTCTTTCTTCTGGTTAAAAATCTATTAACTATTGCCATAAAAAATTATTTATATTTTTGAAAGGCAGGGTGTACTAAGAAAAGCATGGCATATGGGTTTGACTTTCTAGTTTATGTTTTCTGTAGAGCAAGAAGTGTAGAGGTTATACATTTATGTTTTATTTTGGGGATACCTAATGTATAAGTGTGTAATCCCCCAGAAACTTTGAAAATAATATAGGGGTGAAAAATAAATCTAAAATAGGCAATTCAGAACAAATAAGTGTCACATGATACAGAGAAGTGAAGACTAAGAATTTATTTAAATATATTTCCTACTGAAATTAAACTTAAATAATATTAAAATTTGAATTTTGAACTACATTTTTGTGCTCAGGTTATTGATAATAAAATTGAATTAAATTTTGAATCTAACTAAAAAGTCTGTGACATGCATACTTTGACCCACCTGTACACCTAAAGTTAAAAACTCTTCAAACTTTGGATTCTTTTTAAAAATATCTTACTGAATTTTCTAATCACCATTCTTTCATAGTTGTTTTTCATAATTAGATTTGGTGGATACAGAAGAAAAAGCATAATTGTACCATGTGACTATCTAATAAGTTATATTTGAAGACAAATTTGTTGGGTATTTAAATATTTTGTGCCAGATCATCGTGTGTTTGATATTTCACAAAAAATATACATATATTTTCACAACTACTATAGTCACTATTTTTAAGTTTTTTCCTGAAATATATTCTTTCTTAGTGTAGAAACAAAAAGTAAGTTTTTATATTATAAGCTACTGTGAATTTCTGCATTGTACATGAACATTATATATTTCCATTTCTTTCTCAGAGTGAATGACTGTGCTTTAGAGGATTAATTTATACATTTATGAACAGAATATTAAGTTGGAACACTTCCTTTTTTTTTTCTGTAACTTTGCATGTTTTTGCTAAAAGTAAATATTTTAATTTTGTTCTAAGTTTTCAAAATTGCCACCCATTTTTCCTTTCAAATTTTACCTTTAAATTAATCACAAATACTGTGGATTTATGATCATTATAAATAGATGTATTATTAATTTTTCAGGTTTCGGACACAGTAGTGGAACCATACAATGCAACTCTCTCTGTTCATCAACTTGTAGAAAACACAGATGAAACTTTCTGCATTGATAATGAAGCCTTGTATGACATCTGTTTCCGTACACTGAAACTGACCACTCCAACTTATGGGGATCTGAATCACCTGGTTAGTGCTACTATGTCTGGTGTCACCACATGTCTTCGTTTCCCAGGTCAGCTTAATGCTGATTTAAGAAAACTTGCGGTGAATATGGTACCATTCCCACGTCTCCACTTCTTCATGCCAGGATTTGCTCCTCTAACTTCAAGAGGCAGCCAGCAGTATCGAGCCCTCACTGTCCCTGAGCTGACACAGCAAATGTTTGATGCCAAGAACATGATGGCAGCATGTGATCCTCGTCATGGCCGTTACTTAACTGTTGCTGCAATTTTCAGAGGACGAATGAGCATGAAGGAGGTGGATGAACAGATGTTGAATGTACAAAACAAAAATAGCAGCTACTTTGTAGAATGGATCCCTAACAATGTCAAGACTGCTGTATGTGACATTCCTCCTCGAGGTTTAAAGATGTCTGTTACATTCATTGGCAACAGTACTGCAATCCAAGAACTTTTCAAGAGAATTTCTGAACAGTTCACAGGTATTTTTCCTTGTTACATTGTTAAATATTGATAAACATATATGAACACATACAAACAGCTGTATTTTATCATAAGCAAGTTATTTAAGTTTTCATAGCAACAAGATGATTGTGAAAAGTTTCTATCAGACCATTCCTTCTGAAAGTGAACTTGAGAACAGTTTATGTAGTTTGTGACTTAAATGTTCTGATTTCCAGAAACTTTATTGGTACAAAGTTGTGATATTTAATAAAAACACAATATATTTTTGAAACTGATTTATAGACTAATATTCATAATTGTTTTGTTAGGACACATTTCATTGTAAAAACTTTGTGGCAGGTGTGTCACAACTCTTCTGCACAATTTTGCTAAAGCAAAAGGTAGTTTTCAATTATAGCTATCTGTATGCTTCAGAGATAATTAAAATTTGAAGAAATACACAAGCATAAAGAATAAATACAAAAGGTTCTGTGCTAAAAAATTTCATACACATGGTTTTGGTATCTATAATTTTTGTTTTTAGGCTAACTTAACTGGAGCACTTATTGTAGGAGCCATGTGATACACCTAGTTACTTTATAAAACTGTTAAGAAATAGTTTGTTTTCAAATTTATGTAGTCATAAGTTGGGGGGAAAATTATAAAAAGATTTAATACAATCAAGTAGGTATTCTGTAAAAAATGTAGTATTTGTTCAGGATGTGAAAGTAACAACCCAATAAGGTTTTTTAATATCTGCTTGCTTGTCATCTTAATATACATCGCCTAAAAACACCCCAATACTGATCATTTAACCTAACAAAGTAAAGTATAAAATATGCACAGAAAATCAGCTACTGCATTTTTTAATACATTTTAAATTCAGTACTTGCTCTACAACTTCAGTTTCTTTGATTTAAAATAAATCTGTTCAATATAGTAATTTTTTATTTCATTATGAACAGACTAAATGGTGTTTATACTGGATAAATTTTGTGATTACAGGGCTAGTGTTAATATTTCACACTAAATTATCAAATAATGAACTCATCTGAAATAACTCAAATTAGTTGTATCATTTGAGTTAATTCAAGCACTTTAAACCAAGTTTATTGCAGTGGAATTTGCTTCACAATTATATATTATGGGTCATAACATACAGCACTTTTAGTCTCCATTGTATTTCTTAAAAGATAGCTACATATTTAATTTAAAATTGCGATACAGCTCTTAATATCAATAAGTTTCCTACTATACAGTGCTTGTATTTCTGTTCTTTAAAATATTTTCCTTTTTCTTCCAGCCATGTTTCGTCGTAAAGCTTTTCTTCACTGGTACACTGGTGAAGGCATGGATGAAATGGAGTTCACGGAGGCAGAATCCAACATGAATGACTTAGTGTCAGAATACCAGCAGTATCAGGATGCAAGTGTTGAAGAAGAAGGAGAGTTTGATGAAGAAGAGGGTGAAGCTGAAATTGAGGGTTAAATTTTCCCACTTGAAAGCTGCCAGTATTATTCATTTTGGACACAGTATTACTTTATTTTGTTCTTCTTGTTATCATTTGTATTTATTGTTAGTTGAAATAGCTTTCATGCATTTGTTCATTTTGTAAGTCACATCATCGTCTGATGCATTACTAATAAACTTTCCTTCATGAAACTGTGTCTTTTTTGTTTTTCCTGTTTCTGTCCAGAGCTTGACAAAACATTGCTTCTAACAGAACATGACATAACAAAAAGCTGTACTTGAAAGGCTGTATTTTACTGGTAATTTTAAACATACCTCATCCGCAATAGATATCATGGAACAATAGTATTAGAAGCACTAAATTCTTATCAAGTTGCTGCTGTATTTTTTGTTTTTATTCTCACGTAAAACATATCTTTCACTAATAAGTAACCATTCTTGCTTTTAGACTTTAGTGTTGCTTTTTTTTTTCATAAGTGTTGAATAATTAATGTTTTGATTTTGTCTTGTATTTATCACAGAGCTTTTAAACTACGAAATATAAATATACTGAACGATTTGCTAATCGTTCAGCTTGTTAAGATTTTTAAATGTTGGTTCTATACATGAATCACATACCGCTACGGTTCATTTGGTATGATGATTCTGCAACAATAATATTAGCGTATAGTACGTCAAAAGTGCCGGGTCAAGTATTACCAACCCCACCTCATAGTATACCCGAACTTAACATTTCATAGTTAACTGAAATAAATAAATTTTGTGAAATCAAGCTTGACCAACAAAGAGGCAGAAAAGTGCAAACGTAAAATAGAATGGAAAGAGAATGTGGCAGAGGTGTAGGAGGTCAATTAAGTATAATGGGGGCAAGGTATTTTGAGATCTAAAATATCATGATGGGAACACGTGACCATGAAAGTTGCTAACATTGTCTTGTTCTAGCTGCTTTGTTCTCTAGTAGGTGCCCCCCGATAACTCAGCGGTAAGTCAGTGGGCTTGTAACGCTAAAACTGGGTTTCGATACTTGCAGTGGGAAGAGCACAAATAGCCCATTGTGTAGCTTTACGCTTAACAACAAATAAAATAGTAGTATGAGAAGTCTCCTCTGCTCACAGAGATGTTTCAGTATTGTATGTGCAATCTGGATTAAACAGGTGAAGTTAACACTGAATTATAATTGGCTGGCCTATTATGACCCTGAATAAAGATAACAGCCGACCAGCGCCGCCAGGGAACATAGCTCACAAGACGACACCGTCCATTGAACAAAGAAAACGAGTTAACATTCTGGATCCGAGCAAGAAGGATTTGTTCTTTTCTCGAAGTGTTTAGAGTTAGACATTTCGTTCTCAAGAGAAAGAAAGCAAAGACCGAACGACAAGTAAAGGAAGGAATGACTGTTCATTGTGTGTACACGTGCTAGTTTTTCTTCCATTGTTTAAATAAAGATTCTGCTTGTTTGTTGAAAACGTGTCTAACTTAATTATATATTCGTTAAAAACTCAGTCCTATTATCTGTATCACACAATCCTCGTAAATTTACTATGTGAATTCTGCTTTATTACGGAATATTCTATCTGATACCTGTCAAGAAATCTGTCCCTTCTATAAATACCACACCATTAATGATTCATCTTATAAAGTACTTTGTGAGTCTTAAAACTGTGGTATTTGAATATACAATGCGTTTTTAGTTTCTTGTGATATATTATTTTTTCTGTGTCCTGTTTGTGTGTAGGTTTTACACAACAGGTGGTCAAAAAAGCCGTTAAGTTGATTTCATTATAAAGCTACCTTTGTTGCACTTGGAAATAGATACCTTTTACGGTTCGGGAAGAATATTGTTTAATACGAAGTGTATAAGGATGTCAACATCAGTGTCCTTCAACGGTTGTTCAGGTGATATCTAAAGGTTAAGACCCCATCTATGTTGTAGTAAGAATGACCAGTGCTAATTGTCCTGGGTAAATGCGAGGTTTCTTGCAAACTAAGGAACATTACATAACTGCAATTAGTTAGTATAGTCTGGAGCTTTGTCTTAAGTAATCAGCCCTGTGATCATGTAAAAGTGATCATCCCGTGTAAGTAACAACAGGTACACATACTGTGTTTAGAGTTCTAATAAATATTATTCATTCCTATTACACTTACAGTTAGAAAGAGTTATTGTTAATCCGTAATTGATGTCTTGAACGAAACTCTCTCCAGTTATCTAATTTACTTATCCGATGTAGCTCTAATGTTAATTCAGTTTCATCTGGATATATCACATATACAATGACTTAATGTTTTGTAATATTTTTAACTTATAGGATATTAGGTTACTAATCTGGAAAAATACTTTTCGTTAAGTTTACAGATTTTCATGTATATTGGAGCGTGTTGTCTCTTCATCAGTCATTTATATAACCGACGTTGTTTATAGCAAAAGTCTTGAGAATTGTTTGTTTGTTTTTAATTATGCACAAAGCTACACAAGGGCTATCTGTGCTCTGCCCACCACGGGTATCGAAACCCGGTTTCTAGCGTTGTAAGTCCGCAGACATACCGCTGTGCCACTGGGGGGCAGGTCTTGAGAAACAAAATCACGTAGTACGTTTTAGGAACAATAAGTAAGTCTGTTAATGACAAAATTGTGAAGTTCATAATGGTCAAACAAAGGCGGATGAAACTGCAGTCGAAATGAAATCCTTTGGAAATTATTCGATCATGTAAGTAAGAACAAAATAAAACACAATGTGACTATAATACCTTGATTTCGACAAATTGGTGCGAAAAAGGATAAGCCCACGATGTTTTTTCACCATTATTTTTTGTATTTTATTCAATGTTTTGACACTAGAGTACCAGCTATCTTTCGAACTTTAGAAACATGACATTGCTGACTCGCTACAATGTACAGCAGTTATAGCACTTTACCTGTTATTATTATTATTGACATTTTTTTTTGCAAAACTTAAATACATTTGAATTTGTTTGTAATTAAGCACAAAGCTACACAATAGACTATGAGTGCTCTGCCCACCACGGGTATCGAAAGCCGGTTTCTATCGTTGTAAGCCCACAGACATACCGCTGTGCCACTGGGGGCGATTGAACTTGTAATTATTATATATATAAATATACATTCCTAATTTTAAAATAATGACTTGCTATTGATTCAAGTGTATGCTTCTTTAGATCGGTTATATGATGCATATTTTGAACGTTTTGTGTTTGATAAATATTTCTTAGTTTTAAACCTTTTTTTATCCATCAAAGTATAAAATCACCAGAGGAAGGGTATCCCGGCCCGGACATTGTGAACATTAAAACATCTATTTATCATTTGTTGTGGTTTGTCCCCCCCCCCCTGTCTTTAGTGATATTTTATGGCTCACTTTCACATAAACATTATCAGTGATAAAAGGTTCAGTTGTACTGCTAATTATCATTGATTATGATCAACTGAGAAGTACTGCTAATCCAAGTTATGATTGATTTTTACAATGCCCCTAAACGAAGTTTTGATGTGTTTTACTGATTTGGTAATCGAAACATATAGGTTTTTTTATTACACTGTTTAAAAGATGACGGATTCCAATAACCATGTTCATCGATGGGACAGCGGTATGTCTAGGAACTTACTGCACTAAAATTCAGAGTTCGATTTGCCGCGGAGAGCACAGCAATAGCCCAATGTAGCTTTACTCTAAAACAAACACAAATCCAATAACCAAGTAATGATAGTTTGTGCTCCATTGATACTCTAAGTTCGGATGGATTCTGCCAAACTGGTAAGCCGAACTTTTTTTTATTGGGTTTCTTTCACACTCATAAACATAGAAAGTAGTTCTGCAGGGTAGTGGGGAGTGTTCACGATACTAGGATGAGTTCCCCGACCTTCAATCCCTTCTTTCACTAACGATGGTACTATGTGATGACCATTTGTAATGAAGGAGGCTTTTGCGCAATACAAAGTCAAACTGTGTACGGGGAAGTGACTTCGCGAAGCTATTTTTTTTTCAGCAACCCAAAGGCACAGAACTTAATGTGAGTTAGTTGCAAATGGTACAACATAAATTCTCACATGTACTTGCATCTTGCGAAGGAATTGACATGTTTATTTGAATTCGTGACTGGCTACTTTGTCTTGATGGAGCCATGTGTTATTGGCATCCAGTCCCCACAATGATAGTATTTATTTGCCATATAGTGGTGTCAACACTTCAGTCTAATAGTATAAAAATTTACCTTGGCATTTTCTTCGACTTTGGATGTTTAACTTACCATTGCAGTTGAAACCTGCAAACATCATAATTCCCTTCAAAACAAAAACTTTTCCAACATACTTTTTACCATTTTAAAATGTTGTAATACCAAAAAGAAGATAATGAATTAACCGGGATTTTGAAGGTATACTTCGTTCGCTATGATAACTTGCATCTGCGCTAGCTGTCCGTAGTTTTGAAGTTACAGACCAGAGAAAAGCCAACTAACAAATACATTAAATTAACTTATTGCTATCTTAATGGACATATTACTGGTATTATAAGCTATGCCCAAAGATTTCTAAATAATCTTATTTATTATTTCAATACTTATTTGCTTCTAAGCAAAATCAAACAATTTCAATTACCTTATTTTTATTTAAAAATAATTGTATACTGTTGAAGTAAAACAAAAGAGTGTGATCCTTAAAGAAAAGAACAAAAACGAAACACCTAACTCTTAAATCTAACAAAACGATTACAAGTTAGCCAGGACATTCTTTTTCCTGAAGTGATGAAAACATTTCGGATAGCATTAAACATATAAGGCCCGACATGGCCAGGTGGTTAGGGCGCTCGACTCGCAATTTGAGGGTCGCGGGTTCGAATCCCCATCACACCAAACATGCTCGCCCTTTCAGCCGTGAAGGCGTTATAATATGACGGCCAATTTCACTATTCATTGGTAAAAGAATAGCCCAAGAGTTGGTGGTGATAACTAGCTGCTTTCCCTCTAGTCTTACGCTGCTAGATTAGGGACGGCTAGCGCAGATGGGCCTCGTGTAGCTTTGCGCGAAATTCATTAAACATATATAACATTTTATTTCTGGCTAAAAGGTGTCTCTTCAGTCTACTAATTAGCAACAGCCCTTTCTTTGATAGGCGTACAGTACCGATATATATGGACTGTAGACAGGAA